ATATATATATATATATATATATATATTTAAATTTTTTTAAAGTTTAAAATATTTTTAAATTTATATATATATATATATATATATATATATATATATATATATATATAAAAGTTTAAAAAAATGTGTGTGTGTGTGTGTACTACAGTTTAAAAATTTGAGGCCACCCCTGGTAATATTTTAAATTGACACTAAAAGTAACTGTTTTGTTCTTTAAATAAGAATAAATATTATACATAGTTCAAAAAAAAAAAAAAAAAAAAAGTGAGACATTTTATTATGACAAAAAGAAAAAAAATTCCTCTTATGATTAAATTTTGCTCTCGGCAAAATATACTACTTTAGTCTTGATTACTGCAGCGCACATTTTTGGCATGCGTTGTAAAAGTTTCACAAAATATAAGTTTGATAACGGATTCTGTTCTTTTTTTCATTGACCCTAAGAGCTCTTTTTCATTTTTTTCCATTCTTCTGTTAAGTTCATCCGATGCTAATTCTGGGGGTGGCTTCACACTTTTGAAATGTAGTGTCTGTGTGTGTATATATATATATATATATATATATATATATATATATATATATATATATAAGTCATCCACAGACAGACTGTTTCAGCTCTTCAGTGTGGCTAGACATCCGGTTGCCTCTAGCTAGTATATATATATATATATATATATATATATATATATATATGTGTGTGTGTGTGTGTGTGTGTGTGTATGTGTGTACAGACACATACAATTCGGTCAACACCAGGCCATAATAGTCTGAAGAGTGCGTTGAAGCATGAAACAGACTATTGCCGCTTGGTGTTCACCTTAGTGCCCACTTTTATATTTAGATTAACGCTTTTAACCATCAATATAGCATACCATAAAACTATATATATATATACATATAAGAAAATCAGTATACAAACGAAGTGGTAAAATAAAAAAGTAGAAAAATCAATGAAATTAGTTTTTACTTGAAAGCGTTCAAATCTGTTGAGCAAACATAAGCATTGGACGCTATCACGTCCTTATACTATATATATATATATATATATATATATAGTGTAACCCGGATATAAGAGAGTTGTCGGGACCGGAGAAGAAGTCTCTTATATCCGGGTTTGGTCTATTTTATATACATTAACACAGGCTCTAATTTGGGACCAGAGAAAATCTCTCTTATATCCGGGTTTCTCTTATATCCGGGTTACACTGTATATGGAAAAGCGTATTAAGTAACGATTGATATAATTTTTTCTACTGCTATGTTTTATGAGGTTTTGAATCTGTAGTGAAATATTTCTAAAATAAATGTGAAAGGAAACACTTTTATAAACACTAAATGCAGAGATATGAAAGGGAACTTTTTTTAAATGCATCGATGACCATAAAAATCACACGAATATGAAAGTCATTTATCTATCGCATATATTCGTACATTCGTTCTGTTGACATCGATACATAAACAGATGGTGTGCCAAATAAGAAGTAATCATTGAAGAATCAAAAGATACAATCAAAGAAAGAAATGAATAATTTAATAGATATGCAAAATTAAAAACTTGGCTGGTGGTATGCGTTTACTTAAGACGAAAGAAATACGAATTTAAGAATTAATAATGGTTGAAAATACTTCATTTAATGAAAAGATAATTTTTTTATTGCTGTCACTAGTTGTTTAAGTAAAGACAATAAATCTACCATATTTTGAAAAAAATAATACACGGTTTTTTAAATTATTAACTTCAAATTTTGGTCGGTATTCGCTCAGCTTATATTTTGCGCCAGAATTAGAACTCAAGGTGTTTCATTTTGTGTTGGCGGGGGGGGGGGTCTGATAAATAGAAAAGGAAGACATTTCAATTGTAAATAAATAGAATTTAGAATTCTTGAATACAGTATAATCTAACATCTAGTGTAAATATTTTTGTTTAATTTTACTTTTTTTTTTACTTGCTTATGTTGTACTGGCGCCAATAGTAGAGCTGTTTAAGATTTAGTCAAATTTGAGTAAAATTGCTTTCAACAAGTTCCTTATGAAAAAAATCATGTATTCATTTTTAAAGTGATATAGAATAAACCTTTTTACTTTTACTTTTCTCTTTTTCTGAATTTCCTTAACCCCACTGACGTCAGTAGTGGAACAGCTTAAGTGTTAGTCAAATTTAAATAAAGTTACTTACAAGAAAAAAAAAAAAAAAAAAAAAAAAAAAAAAAAAAAAAAAAAAAAACAAATCATTGTAAATTGGATTTCAGTACTCTACTGATACTGAAAAACGACCGATTATTTTTTTTATTTTAGTTCACCCAGTACAAAGCTCAAGAGCCACTCACGGTAGAAGGTCACTGAGTAAGATTGTTGTAAAGGCGGATTTATTTGTTTTTTTTTTTTTTGTTTTTTTTTGTACAGTTTATCAACCTTTTAAGAGTTATTCAAATCCGAAAAAAAAATTTCGGCTTGTAGGAGTTATAGAACTCGATGTTCTCAAGCAGATTCCTATCTAAATACTGACTGAACATGGCATAGTGTGTCCTAGTTGTGAAGGTCTGAACTGGTGAAACGAAGTAATGTAACTCGTCCGAACGCTTACCATAGTAATAGCAATAGAATAGTGAGAGGCTAATAATGGTTGGCTGAGTGATAGAGATAGCAGTGAGAAAAACAATGACCTACAAATCGCTTTCGAAACGGGGCGGTGAGGACCAGTCAGCACTAGCTTAGTCATGGCAGCAGTACTCCGTTCTGGGTCTGATCTGCCTTTTGTAAAGATAGAGCATGGCAGTAGGAACTAGGTATTTTGGAGTGTGATACAAGTAACCGATCATTCTTCCAGTACCTTCAGCAATGGTACGAATATACGACTTCCATTTGAGGGCCAGAGTTGAGTTTTAGACCAAACAGACGTTTAAGGCAAGGTGCTTATATGAGTTTCATTTGATGTCTGCAGTAAGCTTTAGAACAAACAGACGTTCAAGGCAAGGAATTTATACGAGTTTCATTTACGGTTCGGGTGAAATTTAGACCAAACAGACAATGAAAGGAGTCTAAGAGTTCCATTTGAGGACTGTAGTGAGTTTTAGACCAAACAGGCATTCAAAGCAAGGAGCCTATAAGAGTTCCATTTGAAGTGGAGTAAGTTTTAGATCAAACATACGTTCAAGGCAAGAAGCCGATAAGATTTCCATTTGAGGACCGGAGTGAGCTTTAGACCAAACAGACTTTCAATGCAAGGAGCCTCATTGGAAGCATAAGGAGAGATCAGCTTTCAGGTTCTGGCCATCCAGTTGAACATCACTTATTATTCCTTTTATTTATATATTACGTCAAATGATACTGTTTACCAAAATTTTTAAACTGTATCAATTATGACAATTTTGTTTGTGACAAAGAAAGCACTGCGTAGCAAAAGAAAGGAATATGACCCTCTAATGCCGGTTATAGTTGCTAGGTTAATGGTATGAATATGATAATATTTTATCAACTGCCTCGTAGATTAGATATTGGAAGATATAATTAAAACGTAATGCATTTATGCAATAAAGAAAGTGATAAAGAACAGAAATACGAACAAAATCAAGGATGATAGCTTGTTAGTTAATAATCAACTATTGATTACCCCTCACTATTGTGTTCCTTTCAGTCTCAGTGTTTTAATATTGCCTTATGGAGAATATTTTATTCGCATCATTCCTGAAACATTATTAACGAAATTATGTAGATTTATTTATTTATTTTTTTTTTTTTTGTTAATCAAATATTGATTGCCGACAAGTTTGTTCTTCGGAGCGACATCTACTGCGAAGACAAATAAGGTGATTAAAATGATCTTCCAAAGCGGAAATGGTTTTTTAGTGCCTTACCGTTGTCTCCAGGGACGACCAGTTGACCAATTCGAAGTGTAAGAAATCTATTTTAATAGACGGATTCTCAATGCTGAAGTATTAGCCTCCTTTTTTCCCTTGAGAAATACACACGACTCATGAAAGCATTTATTATTGAATCTATAACAAAGTCCTCCCTGTTTCTTTCAATCATTTCTTTGGTCAATTTTCTATGCAGAATGCGACGCAATGTATTGGAAAAATGATTATTTCAAACACAGACGCACGCACACACACACACACACACACACACACACATATATATATATATATATATATATATATATATATATATATAAGGAAATCAGTACAGAAAAAAGTACATCAAGAAATTATTTTATACTTGAAAGAATCCAAAGTTGTTGAGCAAACAGAAGCTTAAGACGCTATTGATGCCTTTATATATATATATATATATATATTTTGGAAAAAAGTATTAAGTAACGTTGGATAGATTTCTTTTGTCGATCTGTTTGCGAGGTTTTGAATCTGTACTGAAATATTCTTGAAAAGGAACAAAAAGTAATCTTTGATTTTGAAAGACTCAAATGTCCAAGGAAGAGAGGGACAGAAATGTCCGGATAAGCATCCCATTCGATGAATGTAGTAAAATTCCTGCTCCAATCTACGTACATACACATGCGAGAGCATAAATGTTTAATTAAGTATTAGATGTGAATTTGATTACACCAGAGATGAATGCTTTGACACATACTCTTTGCATGCCAGGATTCACATATATATATATCTATGCGCTTGGAGACATGTCTGGATACATAGATAAATACTTATTATTACATACACACACTTATGGACTTATGTATTCGTATATATGTTGTGTATTTGTGTGCACATGCATACGGTTACATATCAATGTATACATACACCTGTACATTCTCAAATATATATGCTTATATAAATGTATTCATACAACATGGTAGAATTGAGTATGATGAAAGAACAGTATGATAATATAATATTAAAAATATTTATAAAAATATCGAATCAATAAACATATATTGAGAATGTGACAGATTCATCCACATACATACATACACACACGTTGACATGTGTTTGTGTGTGAGAGAAACATGCTGATGAAATTGAACCTTTTATCCACTTTCTTACGTTTCAATGCAAACTTCGTACATATCTGTGCATATCTCGATGAATATGTGGATTTTATTTAAAGTTGATGGCAAACATAGGCGCAAACAGGCCGGAGAGAAATAATAATAATAACAAATTAATAAATAAAAATAAAATTTAAAAAAAAAGATACAAATTAAAACGTTTTATAATTCGAAAAGAAAATATGTAATCTAAACCAAAAGATGAACACAGAGGACATCTAAACAAAATATGCGCAACAGGTAAAAAAAAAAAAAAAAAAAAACTATCATAAACAAACAGCTTTTCCATTTGTTGATAAACGCTAACGGGAACGTATAAATTATGAAACGGTGCTAAACAAAACGAAACGATCTGAAATGAGCTGACGAGAAACGAAACAAAAATGAAAAAGGTAAAAAAAAAAAAATATCATTCATAACAAAACAAACCGGTACAAAATTGCAGAAAGGTAAATATAAAAGGAAACATGGCAACAATATATATATATATATATATATATATATATATATATATATATATATATACGTAAGGTGAAATAAGAAAATAAAAACAGAAAGGACAAATTGATATTTTTTTTTACGATATATATATATATATATATATATAAGAAAAAAAGAGATGGATTGATTTGTTAATGTCTTACCGTTGGGCTCTCGTCGGGTAAAAAGATGGGGATGTCCTGCGATATGCACTTGGGTGAGGAAGAAAAGGACGAAGACGACGAAGCTGTGGCTGAGGTGGCCAACATTGAAAGAAGGACAAGTTCGGTCGCCGAAAGACTCCACCACCTGCGTGTTGCGACGGCAATCTTTCTGTAGACCATCAAACAACCGAAGGAAGTCTCGCCTGCATCACAGAAGGCGTCGAGAAAGTTCTGAAAGGTAAAGGAGACAAATGAACAAATGAATGAATGAAAGAGAATAAAAGAACAAAAAAAAAAAAAAAGAACTATTTGGAATTCTATCCAAAGTGTGGGAGTCGAACGTAAAACGTTGTTCTGGGGGAAAGAGAAAATAGAATGAATAAAGAAAACAAGTGGAGAAGAAAATAAACTTGGAGAAAGATTTTTGAGAGAAGTAGATAGAAAGAGAGATTAAGAAAATGTTAGAAAGAAAGTAAAGTAACATCCACTAAAGTAAGGAGAGATGGATATACTTGAAACAGAGAATGAAAGAAACAAGGAAAAGAAGAAAGACTGATCTGTTAAAGTTAAATAGACAACGATAAATGGAGAGAGAGAGAGTGAGAAAACGAGAAGAAAAGAGAGAGAACTAGGGAGAGAGAGAAAGAGAGAGATACAAATACACCGAAAATGATGAACGCATATACAAAAAACAAAATAATGTGTAGATCACAATGGTTGATTTCATTTGAGAAAGGAACAAGGAGATTGACGATAAGGTCGGGGTTTTTTTTTTCAGATTTAGAAAGACAAACACAAGCGATAGAGTATAAAAAAAAGAATAAAGAGAAAAAGTACAAATAAATCGGGAAAAGTTTTTAAAATGAAAGGGATAAAGAGAGGAAGAGAACAAAGAGGGAGTAAACAGAAATCATATCATTCACTGAGTATTAAATAGAAGAAGAAAAAGTACAAGAAAAATAAGAAGGAAGAAGTGGAAGAGAAAAGAATGAGTGAAAAGAGTTGAAGAATTGATAGAAGAAGAAAAAAATGAAGAAATAAGAGAGAAACATAAAAGTGAAAGAAAACGAAGAAAGAAAGAAAGAAAACGGTGAAAGAAAATTAAAAAAGAAAGAAAAACGAGAGAAAAGAAACATTCAAAGAAAATGAAAAGAAAAAAGAAAAATGGAACATGTAAGACAAAATGATAAAGACAGAAGGGATAGAGAGAAAAAACAAATATGACAATTAGAAGAAAATGAAAAAGAAAGAGACAAAAGAAAATGAAGAAGAGAGGAAGGAGATAGATGCAAAAGGGGAACAAAATGAAAGGAAAAAATGAAGGAAAATTAAGAAGGATGAAAAAATGAAAACAAAATAATTATTTTGCAGAATGAGAAAAAGTTGAAAAAATCTAAAAAAAAAAGGGTAAAGAGATTAAAAATTGAAGAAAAAAGAAAGAAAAGACAAAAAAAGGGACGAATATTAAATGAACCAAAAAGAAGCAATAAATGAATGAAATAAGGAAACGATGAATTAATGAAAAAGCAACAAGCGAAAGAAAGGGGCAATGAAAGAAAACCAGAAACAAATCAGTGAATAAATAAACAAAACTATGGATGAATAAATGAATGAATGAAAGAAAGAAGCTAAAAACACAAGAAAGAAAAAATAAATGAAAGAAGCACCACAAATTTACGAAAGAAGCAATGAATTGAAGAACTAATAAATGAAATAAGGGAGACAATGAATGAAAGAGAATAAAGGGATATATTAATAAAGAAATAAATAAAAGAAAGAAAACAGGAAGAACAGAGTTCTGTTCTATCAATTGACAGAGATTAATATTAAACACACACACACACACATATATATATATATGAGACCATTTATGGACGTATAAACACGGTGGTAAGAAACAGACATAAATATATCATTTTATATACTATTCATCCGAGCAAATCCCACATATTTCTGTATTCATCTCTCCCATTTTTATCTACTTCTGCATCTACCAGAATAAATAAATAAATAATCACTAAACAGGAAGAGAGATTCTTAAGCGTAATTCTTTCCCGCTTTATTTTGCGTCTTTTCGCCGCCATTTTGTTTGTTCCTTCCTGCGTCAATGCTAGTCTTTATATTCTCCTGCGAACGCCTCTCGTCATTTTTTTCCTTCTTTTATTTTGTGTGTGTGTGTGTGTGTGTGACATCAGAAAGCGATATCTTAGCTTTTTCCCCTCTGGCCCCACATACACCAAATAGATAAATAAACACACAAAATCATGTAGCATCCGTTTGTATTTCCAGTCAACCAATGCCCCAGAAGAAACACGGATGGTGAAGCGCTCGCTGAGGAAAAAGAGATTATGAATGGATAAAAAGGAACACTTAACTCGCTCTTTTCACAGAAGAAACAAGAACGTAAGGTTTTATTTATTTTTTATACTCATTGGCCATATTGTTGTTTGTAATGACATAATAACTGTATATGCCAAGAAAGCGCTTGCATTGCATAGTCCAAAAAGATTCATTTTTGTGTCCTAAACAGTAAAACGGCTTTTATCGTGTCGATGCACAAATCGATAGGGTACAAAAATAAATAAAATAAAATATTTTTAAAATGTAGTCGTAAATCACCATACTTCTTATCTGGAAGGTGTTGTTGTGTTTTAGACTGCAATGTTTATTTACATCATCCTCAAGAGACTGATGATTAGCTATTCAAATCAAATTTACTCAATCTATACTAAAAGAGCCGGTTTTGTTCAGAAGGCTTTCTAGTTTGATATATAAAGCTCAAAGTTTGTGTAAATGTCTGCTTTAAATGGATTAATAACAGATTTTTCAAAGAAAGACAAAAATGCAAAGGACAAATATTTACGAGTGTTTATTTCGATACAAATAAAATCTTGTGCATAAGTTGCCAATACTACTGTATTAATTGATGCAGTCATCGGTGCACGAACGCATAAATCTACTCTTCGACTCAAGCCACTCTTGCACTAACAGCATCATATTATCATAACCGGGTTGTTTTAGGTGAGGAATCATTCGAACTAGTATACTTATTTTGGTTGTTTTTTTGTTTTTTAATACTACCGTTCACAGCTGGAAAACCACTCAATGTAGAGAGTTACGGTTAAAATGTTGATGACGAGCGAGTTGTGTGAAACAAATGAAATCGTAGGGGTCTAGAGAATAAAGAGGATAGATAAAGGCTGTCCCTTGACACAATAAAGATTAAGGTTGTTATAAAGGGTGTTCCAATAACTTGGACCGATTTTAAATGTGAAGTAAGTTTAAGCGTCTAATGATTTTTTTTTTTTTTCTTTCAGATTTGGCGGACATTTGGGTGATATTATTTTTCACACATAATTGCCATGACTTAAATAACATGATCTAATAGAGAAATAAATAAATTTTCACCAATAACACTGATTTATTTACTGCTGACTTTGATCCGTCTTAATGAAACACCTTTTATATTCACAACTTTTCGGCCGTTGTACCTTGCTGCCTAGGTGTATGTCACCTCGGAATTTTGAACCAGACTCTTTATTCAACCCACAGTAGACTCTGTTCTCATTCGGTTTTTTCAGATTTAAGTATTATGTTGTATCAGTTCATTATCATTAGCGTCGATTGCCTGTTCCTTCCACTGAAAAAAGAGTATCTGACCTTTCGGCACTACCAAACCCAGGGATTGAATTCACATATGCTAGCAAGCAAGACAACTAGGGTTTAACCAACATTTTAATCTACTAGGAAAATTCAGTGGTGGAATATGTACTCAGATAGTAGATGCTAATTCTTTTAATCGTCCTATTTTTTTTTTTGTGTTTTTCCCTATAATCTTTATTTAATTCCACAGGTGTTAATGACCACCCTTTTCTCTAACATAATCAACCAAGAATGATTTCACCGTCTCTCCCCGGACGACGGGATTTCTATGCTCTTCCGTTACGTTTACTGTATTCCTTAATAAAGGTGCACAGGATGGATCTACGTACAGTTCTTGGTTATATTTTCTTCAGAAGGGACTTGGATTGGAAGAGATATCTCCCAAGGGTTGAACTGTTTTTGAATACCGTCCTCATATTGTACAGAAAACATATTATTTGCATCTTTTCGGATGTAACCCTTATGCAAGATAGACAAACCGTGGCAGATTTTCTTTTATTGTTGCCCTCAGCTCTTCTGTCCCTGCTTTCAGTAGACGATATTTTGCTTGCAGACGAGTTGATACTCCGAAGAGTGTTTATAAGGCTAATTATCTCTTCCAAACATGTGTCCGGATCGCTATTTTGACCCGATGTAGTTGCTAACAGACGATCTCTTTCTTGACATTGTATAGATGATGCGAACTGAAGTTCGATTATTGTCCTGTGAATGTTTTCTTACAATTCACTATATGCGAACGTCTTCAGCTCATAATCTACGCGACTGATCAATGACCCCCAAGAAGGCCAGCTGCACTTTGCGATTCTGAACTATATGAAAGCTTCTATTAAATTTATGTGTTTGCACATCTTTTTCGTGTGGTCCGAGTATGAAACTTTTTATTGTAACCCAGGGAAGGTTACTGAATAGAATAATCAAACGAAGGTTGGTAATGAACGATAATACTTAGGACAAGAACAACACATATAAGATTCGCCAGCGGTGCGTAGAAGAAGTACTCAACTGCTAGAAGTGAGTCACGTGAATTCCACAATGATTCTCCAACTGCGGGATATCTGCCAATCACCCACGCGGTCAGATGTGACACAAGGCCGAATTTAATGTGGGTTATCCGAGCCCGTAGGCTCGGCGTATAAAACGGGGTCGGGTAGCTGTTTCCCGAGACGAGACTCTGTCCTTCGAGATAGCCTCGTCTGGGGATCCTCTCTGTCCGGAGGCAGAGAGTTTGACCAGCACAGCTGGAGACGAATCTACAACTGCAGATCAATATACAGTATTTACTACTGTATTTATGTGAATGGGGACATACCCATTATCGTCCGTAGGTATGCTACAACAGTTTTATCAACGTATAGTCGCCATAAAGCAGCAATTTCTTTGAAGTATCTCATGTACGTGTTTGGTATTGGAGATCCTATAGCTAAACCATCTTTCTATCGGTATATGTCGTACTGAATAGGAAAAGGTATATATTAATTCATATTTTGCGTCACTTGATGGTGAGAGAAAGATTTCTAAAAATCCATTTTCATGTTCATTAATCGAATATTGATACGTTCCTAAGATGTTCTCACTCAAAATATGAGTGCAAAGTTAGACTGAAAAATGTTTGAAACGGCTGTTAACAAATTAAAAGAGTTGAAATTTTGGAAAGAATGTTACGATTATTTTAATGTCATGTCCATCCACAGCTTCCTTTACTTTAAATATCTCTACAGGATATAGGCAATCAAGACTCTGCAGACATCCCGTTTCTTTATTATTTGTAAACTGTCTTGCATTCTTGGGAAAGTGGTGTGGTTTCCCGTTAATTTCTCCACTGTTTTGAATTCAGAGATGCCTTCTCTTAGATAGGCTGTCATTCAAGGCTAAAGAGCTCCTGTCTACTTTACTATGTAACACATAGGTGCGGGAAGGGGAGACTGGTACACGCCTTTCAGAGTTGTTCTTCTCTTAGATTGGCTGCCAACGAAGACTAGAGATTTCGGTCGCTTTTGCTATTTAAATATCTAGCTGAGATGACTCATGTTATTTCTAATGGCATTCGCGCGAAAGTCGACTCAAAGAGGCTAGTCCGAAATTTGGAATGTCGCCAGTTTCACTTTTTGCGTCGACAAACGTCGGCGAGTAGTCTTACGATTACGGGTGCAAAAAGTAGAATAGGCGAGTCGAGTTCAAATTTCGGACTAACCTCTTGCGTTCACTTTTCCATGAATTCCCTTGGAAAGAACATGAGTCAATATCCTCAGCTAGGTATTTAAATAGCAAAAGCGATTGAACTCTCTAGTCTTGGTTGGCAACCAGTCTAACAGAACAACTTTGAATTCCAAACTGTGGAGAAGGCGATGGGAAGTGTCACCTACTTGATGGGTTTAAGTAAATGAATGGTAGAATAAAGATCAAAAAGTCAAAGATGGTCGGGTAAAGCGACAAGATTTACTTAAAGCAACAAAAACAGAATGCTGTAGAGAGCCATTCTACATCAAGAAAGGAAATAACACATGCATGACAAAAAATATCCACAAAGGTGGACATTAAGTAGGTGAGTTGATTAGAACGCAGTTTAATGACGGCATCTGTTGTCAAAGATGGACATGAGTTTAACCTTTATTGTCACTCAATGGCAAAATGTCTTCATCTGCCAACAGAGAATTAAAGAATTCGTCAATTTTAACAGAAAAAAATATGATCTGTGGATACGGGACACGTTATGTAGGCTTTAATTTTATTTTGAAAACCAATCAAATGCATTTGTATATGATTGTACTAAGATATTCAATTCAGTCAAGTCAATTCATGAAGATGTTACGCTGAAGAGAATAGGAATTCTATAAGATGATTCTTGAAGTAAATCAAATAATAATAGAAGACCATTGATGTAGAATGAACAGACTGAAATGGAAGAGACAGAAAGAAATACATATGACTAATCTTCACGAAAAACAAGAAATGAAAAGATGGAGACAGGGATAGAAGATAGAAAAAAGACAAATAAAAAGAACAAAGATAGATAGATCTGACGTGCTATAAACCGACTGAGCAACAAAGAACTTAGTCGATCAAGCATGATTCAATAGTGCATTAAGCGAAATTCCTCACGTCACAGACTTCTCGAAATTTTTCATAACTGCTCAGTTTCGTATCCAAACGCAAGCAAAGCAATTTTCTTTAAAAAAAAAAAGTAATGGATTTTTATTTATTAATCCGACAGACTTTTATCACTTTAGACGTTATTTTTAGTGAATATTCGTATTTGAGCAGATGCTAGGTTTATTTATTAAACAATCCAGTAAAATAACGTTTAAAGATAAAATCTGTCGGATTAATAAATAAAAATCCTTACCTGATTGGCTAAGTTCAGTGTAGCTCAGTTGATGTGGAGCATGTCGGATCTAACGACGGTTTCCTTTGTTCAGGAGGACATAGATAGATAGATAGATAGATAGATAGATAGATAGATAGATAGATAGATATGAACAGACATATGGTATATAGATACATAGGAAAAGCCTGAGATAGATCGTTCATATCTAAGATAGATAGTTGATAGATCGTTCATATCTATGATAGATAGATAGATAGATAGATAGATAGATAGATAGATAGATAGATAGATAGATATCTATGATAGATAGATAGGATGAAAGTTGATAAAGAACAGAAGGCCATTTTTCCAACAGCTTCGTATTTCTTTTTCCATTTGGCACGCACACAACACAACAATTTATTTAAATTTCCCCTTTTCTGACTATATAAAAACTGTCTTTCTATCTGTTCCAGTCCTATATTTAACATAAATTATTTATATCTCCATGCTGGCTGGATAAAGAAGAAAAAAGAAATCGCTCGCCTAAGCACCCGACCCGCAAAAACCCAAACATATTTTAAGATCCTATTTTTGTTTTCTTGTACATTTTTTATTGCTCTAAGCTGCTAATATAATATCGAATGTTATCAGACATACATATGTAAGACAAAGGTAATATTTACGCGGGAAAAGATACATTGGTTGTCGTCTTCGAGGAAATGTGCGGACATCTGGTATCTACATACACGTGTATTGCATAACGCACATATACAGAGGGCATAAAGACTACTTATATCCCATAACAGTTGATACATTTCGTGTGTGAAATTTCTATGCAAGTGTAACAGCTATCATCAGACAGAAGTTGTATTATATATGTGTTTGTGTCTATAAGTAGGTTTATACACGCGCGCGCGATAGTGTGTGTATGTGTCTGTGAACGTTATTTTTTTTTTTAGATTTGCACACACACATATATTTACATGGCCACATATATGCAGACAAACATATATATATATATGACTGTACACACGTACATATGTGTACGCGCGAACAAACACAATGCACATATTTGCATATTATATTATATATATATATATATATATATATATATACGAACATAACCACAAATATGATAATATACATACGCATTTATATAAACATGAACGCACGCACGCACACACACATACACATCATAAAAAATATAGTTTTAAGGTATGCTATATTTATGGGTAAAAGTGCTCAATATCAGAGATAGAGTATATATATATATATATATATACTCTATGAAAAATTCAAATTGCATTTTTGCAGTTATATTTTGTCTATATCTGATTTTTACACATCTACACACACACAAACACACACACATATGAGAACATACGCGTACTTATATACACATATATATTTTTGGATTTGTCCATGTACATACACACCCAGATTTATATATATATATATATATATATATATATACACAAACCTATACCACATATACACATACATATATATGTATGTATGTGTGTGTGTGCGTGCGTGTGTGTGTAATTCGCAGCATATATTTGTACAAGTGTTTCTGCGATACGTGATATATTGATGTTAATGTGAAAGAGGCTAACAGCATATAGATCAATTCTTTGTTGAGTTATAGCTTCAAGGTCTGCAGATGCTGACTTAATGTACTGTCTGTGTAGATATTAAGAGAATATTTCACCGCCTGTGACAGTCAAAGATAGATACATGTTGTTAGGGCGGATTTGCAGAGAACAAGCGGAATATTGACACAGAATTACAGTAGTGCCTTCTGGTGAAGGGAGGGGAGGGGTAAGCGATAAAGAATTTCAAACGGAGGACTTTTCTGAGCTGAATGGGGTTAGAGCAGGACTGTGTTCTGGTAACTGATACGGTCCTACAAAAATCGATGCGCAAATGAATATATATATATATATATATATATATATATATATATATATATATATATACTAAACCCCTCAGTTTATGGAGTCCGGTATAACGGATTTTAGATTGAACGAAGCTTTTATCAGAACTGATAAAATATTCTATTTTACTCCTGTTTATTCGTAATTAATAAAATATCATTTTATATTGGTCTATTTGAGATGAGGTATTATCATTATCCGTTTGGTGTAGTAGGCTCATCTTTTTTGTTATACTCCCAAAGCTTTGACCGTTCACCCTCCTGCCCTCCTCAGAGGGCTTTTGTACGAATAACACTTTATTCAATCAAAAGACTAATCGACACGAAGGTGAATAAGAGCAAAAAGTATTATGGTATACGAGATACCCACGAAGTATGAATGAAATCCGTCAAGATCAGCATTGTAATCAGAATGGAAAGGCAGTTAATAATAGCACCAACAATCTATAATTCTCAAAATATGAGTATGTATGTGTGTGTGTGTGATCGGATATTGTTTATGCGTTTTCACAGTTTTCATCCGATTTCGATGATTTTTTTTTTTTTGTTTGTTTGTTTGATAGATAATTCATCAGTGCCGGTTTTGAGTCCAAACTGGCTGGAAAACAACCTTGAAGGTGAAAATCGTAAAACTGATTTTTCACACTTTGCGCATAAATCAAAGGCAAAACTTTAATGTCTGTAAAAAACAGCGTACAATCAATTTAGAGAGTTGAAATCTAACGAAAAAGATTATTAGAATTATAAAAAAATATATAAATAAAAATTATCGTATATTATTATTATTATTATTGTGACAGTCCATGGAAGAGGTTCTTTCCTTGCAAGATTGAGAACGCAAAAACGGTCTTTTCAGAGACACACGCCATTCAAATTAATACCCCCTCATTTGGGGATGTGCCTCAATTGCACCTAATTGTTGTTATTAATATTGATTTTCGGGTGGGCTGACTTTAAACTCAAACTACTCCAATTGAACGGCAAAAACTCCCAGTAATGAAATACCCGGTAGAAGATTGGTTATACTGCTAGTGTGTATATATATATATATATATATATATATATATATATATATATATATATATATATGTATGTATGTATATGTCCTGATGCTACGCCAGACATGGCTCTCAAGGCTTCTGAGTTTAACTGGTTAGAGTCTTTACCATTTACATACTTTGCTTTGGTGAATCAAGATGAGTTACAGTAAATATCACATTCAGTAGCACGATTTTGCTTGTCAGTTGTTTGACCATAAATAGACTCTACAACACTGTTCATGACCGGAAGTTGTCGGGGAACATCGGAAAGGTTTTTTTTTTTTTTTTTTAAGTCTGAAAGACGAGATACGCAATGCGACTTGGGGGTCACATCTATATACTTGGTAACATTTTCAATCAAGAGACCGTCTGATTGGACTGGGAAGATATTTCAAATTGGGTCCCACCTGCAATGATATGCGCTACTTTTATCAAAACCTGTCACCATATCTCGGACATATCTTATGAAACAACGTTATATGGGTGCACTTCCCAAACTCGTGATGACCGGAGATTGGCAGCGGATCTCTCCTCCGATCTAGATCTAACATCTCAGTGTGTGTGTGTGTGTGTGTGTGTGTGTCCGGGGGGGGCTGGTTACATTCAATGCCTGGAAAACCACACTAGTTACATTCCATCATCACCGATGTGATCCTGAACTAACCACCAGTCACGATGAATGGATGTTCCCTCAGGGAGGCCTCGTGCCTTGACCAACTATTGGGCCTCAAACACAACCCAGACCTCAAATGGAACTCGTACAAAGATGTAGGAAAAATGGTCAGTTCTCTGCACTGTCCCACGAATTACCTGACACCCCATGCTATACTCTAGCTTTACAAGAAACAGATCAGGCTTAAAACGGAGTACTGCTGTCATATTTGGGTAGAAGTTACCTAGTTCTCGCTTTCCAGTCTCGATAGATTCCAAAAGAGTCTCCGCGTCCTTTTGAGTGACAAATTATTTTCCATCATGCAACCATTCTCTCATTCCTTAGTTTCACCAGTTCTAACCTTCAAGGTTACGACCCACCATGCCACACCCATTGTAGCGAACCACCCTCATTTCCTACATATTCCACTGGTGAGAGGTAAGTTCCACTCAAGTAGCTTCATTTCGTGAACCACTGCTCACCAAATCCCAAGAGGACGTTTTCCTCATCACTATAATTTTAACTTCTTCAAATGTAGAGTCACTCATTATCTTCCCAACATATCCGCATAAACTTCCTTAACTTCCTTAATCTGCAACCTTCTACCTCGAGTGGCTCCTGCACAAGGTAAACAACAACAACAACAATAATAATAATAATAATAATAATAATAATAATAATGGCGTATTCTTTTTCACTCATTAACAATAATAATAATTATAGCGTGGTGCTCTCTCACTCATTAATATTAATAATAATAATGATGGCGCGGTGCTCTCTTACTCATTAATATCAATAATAATAATGATGGCGTAGTGCTTTCTCACTCAATAATAATAACAACAACAATAATAATAATGGCGTAGTCTTTCCCACTCATTAACAATAATAATAATGATGTCATGGTGCTCTCTCACTCATTAATATATAATAATAATAATAATAATACTGATGGCGTAGTGCTCTCTCGCTGATTAATAATAATAATAATACAAACTAGATTAACGTTATCATTTAAAAAAATGACGCCATCACTTAAATATGAAGGCTTATTGTCCCATAAAATGAAACTTTATATAAAGGGGTGTGCTGAAAGGTTTTCACCATAACCAAGTTTCGAATATGGTCGCATCAGATTTGGGGAAGTGGGTTGCTTTTTTTTTCCAACAGTTCCACGTTATCTCAGAAACGTTTCAAAAGTTTTGAGCCCGAATGTGATTGCCATAACAATGTTTCCAAATACTTGAATGTCTAATAATACATTTCTTGTTATACATCGTTTTCGACAAATTTGGCCATTTTCATTGTCCTCAGTAATTTCTTGCTTTGATTTATCAGAAGCAATAAAAGAAAATGGAAGCAGTTCACGATGATCGACGAAAATTAGAATCAGAAACTGAAGTTATCGCATTGTTATTGAATTTTTGACTATGGAACATATCACTCGGCAAGAAATCTGATTGCATGCAAAATGTCTACCACGAGGATTGCCCTTTATACGCAACAGTTAGACGTTGGGTTGATAAGTATCGTCAACAGAAGGCGAACGGCGGTCAGAGTGGACTGTGAAATTAACCTTTGTTGAAAAACAAAAGTATCCTTTCTGATGATAACATGTCATATACAGACAACTACCAAACAGAGTAAAAATACTTACTAGAAGCTCAAACGCACTGAAATGAATACACATTATCATCCGAATCCCGCATAGACAAACAAGAATTATGAGACACACATAAATTATACACACGAACGCTGCTTAATAGGTCAGATACACATGTGATCGGTTTAAACAATGGCAAAAACAGACAAAACAAAAATAAAAATACCAGACTATGAAGCTTAAATAAAAGCCAAACATGTTATGCTTCCTATTTGTTTCTTATTCTATCATGTTATATATATATATATATATATATATATATATATATATATATATATATATATATGTATATATATATTATAGTAAAATGTATTATATGTATGTGCTTTTAAAACTCAGTAAATTTCAAAGTATGTTATTCCAAAATTCGCTTGAAGATGAAACAAAACTAATGCTTTTAATTTAATT